TCTCTCTCTCTCTCTCTGGGGGGAATGAGGCACCTGACGCGGACACACAGGACGACACCCTTCGCTGCCACCTCGCATGTCTCTCGCTCACCCAGTCACGCACACACGAATACAGATCCGCCACCACCTGCGAAGGGCGAGCAGCAGCAGACAATCACGAAGAAAGCCAACTGCCATGAGCCGGGTGATCGCGTTGATTCATCCAAGCACATACCCCTTTCCCCCCCCCCTTCGATGAAGTGAAATGGAAAAAAAAAGAGGCCAAGACGGACAGAAGCCAGCTTCCTCTAGTTGAGCTTTGCCTCAAGGGACCTCGACTTGTCCATGCACGCGATCATAGCCTCAATCACAGCGGAGCGCAGGCCACCCTTCTCGAGCGAGCGCACCGCCTCAATCGTTGTGCCACTAGGCGAGCACACCATGTCCTTCAGCTGCCCCGGCGACGCGCCGGTCTCCTGCAGCATCTTCGCCGCGCCCAGCACCGCCTGCGCAGCGAACTCATACGCCTGCGCGCGTGGCATGCCACCGTGCACCGCCGCGTCGGCCATCGCCTCCATGAACATGAACACGTACGCCGGTGACGATCCGGCGACACCGATGACGGCGTGTATCTGCGACTCCGCCACCTCCGCCACCTTGCCAACGGTGCTGAACATCTTCAACACACGCGCTGTCTCCTCAGGCGCCACCGAGGCGTTCGGCGTGACAGACGTGATACCCGCGCCGACGCCAACAGAAACGTTCGGCATCACGCGGACAATCTTGCAGGGCTTCACCAGCGCCTTTTCCATCGAGGCGATCGTGATAGCTGCCGCGACGGAGACAACAACTTTGTCTGCAGTGATAGCGTCACGCACTGATTCAAGCACCTGGCAGACGGCGTATGGCTTCACGCCAATGATGACAATGTCGGACTTCGTTGCAACATCGACGCCATCGGTACCACCGTGCACACCGTACTTTTGGTAGAGGCGTGCGACGCTCTCGGGAGTACGGTTGTACACGTATATGGACTCTGGCGGGTACTGTTTGCTGTTGATGAGACCCTTGAGTATGCTCTCGCACATGTTGCCACAGCCGATAAATCCAATCTTCATAGCGACACCACGTGAAGCTTGGTTAAGATTCACTTCTTGTATTGTTTTATTGTTGCTCACTACGTAATACTTGCACAACTGCAAAGTAAAAAACACAAGACAAAAAAAAGGAAAACAGTGAGCAGAGAGAGACTTCTCAGGTTCAGAGGGCCACAACGTGCAGTATCCCATAATTTCAGATATTCGGCATACCCGGAAACACAAAGACAGACGACTAATTCTCCTCCACGCCGACGTTGCCACCCAGGTTCGTCACATACGCCTTGGGCGCCCGTCGGGGTGGCACGCGGAGGTACGACATGGGGTCGAGCGGGTCTGGCCGTGCGAGGGTGCTCTGAAACACCTCCGTCCCGGTCTGAACAATGTGGAACGGTGGCGCCACCGTCGGGTCATCTTTGCACTTCCATGTCAGACCACTGGAGGGGCCGCCTCCAGTTGCCGACCCACCGCCGGCGCCGTTGTTGCCGCCGCGACGCACAGACTTGACACCGCCCGCCATCGCGCGGCTTAAACGTTCCAACAGCCGCACCGCCTTGGCGCGGTTCTGGTGCACCTCCTGCTTGTCCTGCCGCAGCGCGTTGGTGGCGCTGCCGAGGTCGGTGTGAATGAGGTGCTCGCGCGTCACGCCAGTAAAGACGTCGAGGATCTCGTCGCCGTTGCGTGCGACCGCCACGTCCAGCTCGCCGTCGATCGGGAACCCGAGGAGGATGTCAAGCGCGGCGGTACGCAGCTCATACGCGGCAAGCTCGCGGCGGTTGAAGTCGTACAGCCACGTACTCAACTCTTGCAGGATGCCCTCCGTGATGAGGAAGGGCCGCATTGCCTCGCGGCGGCACTGCGCAATCACTTCCTCGCGAATGCCCACGCGATGCAGTGGCGGACGGCGCTGGTTCATGTCCATCTCGTCTTGAAGCCGCGCCTCACGCATCGCGCCCACAACACGCGCCGCGATGGCACACAGGGCCACGCGGCGCGCGTCTGCCGTCATCTTCTTTGGCCGCGCCTCGACATCGGTAAGCTTGCTACCGCCGCTGCGCCTTCCGCTGCCACGCTGCGCCGCGGCCTCTTCCACCTGCAGCACCTCGTCTAGTTCGGCAAAGGGCGCCGCGCCCAAGTCCTCGTCTCCGAGCTCGATTGGCTTCTCGCGGCGGCTGCGCTTCCGCCGCGGCTTACCACCGGAGCGTCCCACCTTGGCATCATCCTTATCGTCACTCTCTTCTTCCTCCTCCTCCTCCTCAGCATCATCATCCTCTGCTCGCCCGCGTCTTTTCCCACTACTTCTCTTATCCTTACGCTTCTTATCGCCCTTCTTGTTCTTCGACTTTTTTTTGTCATGGTGGTGACTGCCCTTCTTGCTGCGCTTCTGGAGCTTCTTCCAGCGTTTATACAAGTCCCGCCCAAGCGCCTTGGCCTCCGCTTTGCTGTCAATGCGCATGAGTGCCTCGTCGGAAAGTGGAGCGCCTCCTTCAGCGTCCGCTTCACTCTCGTTCTTCCCAGCGCCATCCCAGCCAGCGGCAACGACTGCTCCGTTTTCCTTGTCAACCTCCTCGTCGTCGTCATCGTCAGTGGAGCGGCCCAGGTCAAGGAATGCATCTTCCCCCTCTCCTTGCTCCTCCGCTTCTTCAGTGAAACCGACAGGCGTTTCGGGTGGCGCGGAGGCGGCGGTCGGGTCATGCGGCGCCAAGCCAAGAATGCGGTCATCGTCGTCGCCGTCCATTGCTGCCGTTTGAAACTAACGGTGCGTGGGCGCTTACCTGTAAAGAGAATATCAGGACAGATAAGTGATGCTGAAAGGTGCTCAATGTAGGCTCAGAAGGAAGTACATGCCAATAACAATGGGGCTAACACCACTCTTGGTTGCTTTCACTCTGTACTGCAAAGAAAACAACCAAAAAAATCGCCTGCCGGCCTCACAGCTGGACAGTGCAGAGAAACTCTTCTCGCCAGCGCGGCGCGCGCCCCTGCGGCTGTCCCCATCGTCGCCGTCGCCGGTGTTGTGGTGTTTTGATTGAAGTATCGACCCCTTCGTCATCGCCGTCTGACGTGAGAGGATCCAACAGGTGCTGCCACTTCAACAGACGCGCAACCCTGACGGCACCCTGCGCTGGTGCTAGCACAATCTCTGTGTGAAGGTAGAACAACCGCAGGCTCCCCATATAGTGTAAGGATGACTCCGCCTCCCGGCTCGACGGGAGAGCCGCATTAATAGAAGTACCACTAGTATTAGTAGAAGTATCAGTAGCAATAGAAGCGGCAGCAGCAGTAGAACAAGCCCGCTGCCGTTTTCTGGGGAAAGGCCGTGGGGATTTTGTGGGCCGTGGAGTTACGTTTTGCAGCCGGCGGAGGAAGTCCGACTCTGCTTCCACTGTGGCTGCAATTGAAGATTTTTCACGTGTAGAGCGGCGATAGTGATCAGCGTTACCTGTCACAGCTCCCCACTCCTCAATGAGAATAAGCGCGCACCTTCTTCGACGCCGCAAACAACCGAGGAGCCAGTGGCACAGCGGCACCTCGTTGCCAATAGCGCGCTCATAGTGATGGATGTGAGTTCCCTTCCCGCCACATCCCTCCACAACAACGAGCGGCACCACTTCGGGCGAACCGGCACACACCGGACCATGCATGCAGAGCACCGCAAAGTCGGTAAGGTCGATGCAGTGCACCACTTCTAGCCGCGCGAGTACGCCAAGCAGCACCTCCCGCCGAGCCTCAATGGCGGACGCGCACGCCCCCAGCACATCAAGTGGAGCCCCCGGCACCGCAGTGTCTTCCAGGTGTTCCATGAAGCGTCGCAACAAAAAATTCCCACTGCCGGGAAGAAAGACAAATGTAACGGCGCCGCCGCAGCTGAGGTGCCGCGCGGCCACGCGGTACGCCCATGTTGTCTTGCCAGAGCCCGGCGCCCCACCGACGAGAAGGATGTCGCTCTGATGCAAGCCACCATCCGTTGCGTTGTGAATGATGGGCGGCATTAAGCCGACGCGGGTAGCCTTGAGGCGCTGCACCAATGCGTGCGCGCTCTCACGGTGTGACGGCATGTGTGTTTGAGTTCTTTTTTCTTCAGCGTACTGCTGACGCTTCTGCCTTACACGTCACACTGCCACCTTAAGGGAGAGAGTAACAAAAAAGGGAGGCACAAATCAAAGACCAAGAGTGGTCCAATAAGCAGTCATGTGTTGCATGCACAGATCCATCAAAGCATGCCCTCACGAGGTGGCACACGGCAGCATTTCACTCCGACGTCTCGCGCTATATATATAAAAGAATGAAACGAAAACAAAAAAGTCGAGCAATGGAGCTCGGATATCGATGGATCTTGTAGGAGCAAATTTAAAACTTTATGCTATATAAATAAATAAATATATATAGCACTCTCATTTCAGCCTTTTGTTTTTGTTTTTTCTTGCAAGCCACAGCAAACCCCTCTCCGCTACTGTAAATCACACTCCATTCGACGGTCTTGCCAAATCAAGCACCGGCTACGCCAAACAACGCCCCGCATGCACACAATCACTCATCTTCTGATGTTCTTCAATACTTGCAGAATGTCCTTCAACGACGGTTGATAGTTATCCAAGTTTATCCCCTGGCTGTCTATTGCCATGATGTGGGCCGCAACCTCATCATAGAATTCCTGCGCCAGCAGGATCACATGACGCACATTGAGGTTTCCAGCAGTGCTGTTTGCAAATTTGAGGAGCTCGTCGTACGTCAAATGTTGTTCTAATATCTGTGGTGTCAGGGCCCTCAGAAGTGCGGCAGCGACGATCAACTCAAAATGTGACGTGTACGGGCAACACATGATAACATCCCACAGTAGCATGGTGTCGTTAAGTGAGAACTCACGCTTAAAAAGCATGATCAGCCAACGAAAACAAAACGACATGTCATCCGCATGCTGACTTTGCAGGTGGTGGTACAGCCGCGGCACAAAGTACCGCATGAGCAACCACAATGCATCAAGCTCCTCTTTCATGCCCTTCTTGACGTCCCGTAGGAAATGGTTTTCACACCGCTCACCGAGAAAGGAGCTGAAGCACATAAACGCTTCCACCTCGGTGTCTGCGAGAAGTGCAATGGGGGAGAGCATATCACTCATGCCCTGACAGTAGCCTAGATCAAAGTTAAACATCGCATGGGACATGAGTACATTATACAACATTCGCTGCTTCACTCCATTGTCGTCTGTGTATGCTGAATGGGCGCGATCAGTGCGCACAACATCCTTCTCAATCGCACTACGCACCTCGCGGAAGGCGGAGAAGTGTGCCTCCTGCTCGGGAAAAATGCTCTGCCATTGTAATTTGAGCTTCTCATACATTTGACCGTAGCGTTCACGTATCATCTGCCGCTGCGCCTCCGTAGAGTCCTGTTCGTTCGGGTACACCTGGAGCATAAAGCTCCACACCTGCAGACGTATTTCTTCCGCTACACCACCAATGAAGGCAATCGCCTTAGCCTTGGCGTACTGACCCAAATCGAGACGACGTTCCTCACCAACAAAGCAGGCGTTCCACTCTACAGCAGTGAGTGGGGGTCCCATGCCACGCCCCCGCGGTTGTGGAATAATCGGCACCTGGTCTTCTACTGGGATGAGGCCTTCCAGCAGTTCAAATGGTTCATCCACCATAATTTCTTCAGCCGTCAGAACAAAAGGGTCGCGGTGCAACGCTGCAGACGGTGAACGTGCATTAGGCTCCGGCGAATTGCGAAACAGAGAGCGTACGCCAGTAATTGTGGTCGCAATAGACGCCCGAAGCCGTGCTCCGCCAGACAGATTCTCTTGTTCGTACAGCGCTCGCCGTGCATCGGAAGAACCCCCCACAGGATCCCGAAACGGTTGCAACGAGGCTACACGGCGCGGTGTACTATTCACAATCCCACCACTCCTCTCAGATGATCTAGACCTAGTTATTGCCGCTGTCGTGGCAGTAACTCCCGCATCGTCATTTCCATAAATAATGAATTCATCCGCATCGACACGACTCTGCTGTAATGGTGATACCTTTTTCAGCTCCTTGAGGAAGTTCGTGAGGCCGCCTTGGTGGAATATGAGCCGGTAGGCAGCTCTACCGTCTAGGAGGAACAGGGTAATGTCACTTACACCACGATGATTCGAGTGGCGCTGCACCTTGGAAACACTACTTAAGGATGTGCACATAATGTACTTCCACTCCTCCTCCACGTGGCCCGGGTTGGCGTCGCCAACGAGGTGGCTGAGGCACACCGGCAGCAGCGCTGGAAACTTGACGGCAAGAAATGTATACGGCACCCAAATAAGATAGACACTGTCTCTGCTCTGTAGCGCACTCCCCACGACGCCCTCGCGTTGTAGGGTGGTCTCCTCAAACAATGCGCCGAGCGAAGATGTGGGGGACGTTGCTGGTGTCGACTCTTCTGTGCGGCCTTTAAACGAGGGTATTCCATTCAATGGCGTCTCGTGTTGCACAACCAGCAAGCAGCCCATGTAGTTCTTACTGTCATCCGCCAGTTTGCCTTTGATGATGACGCCAGGCTGGTCCAAGAGAATCTGCACTGGGTCCAGACTGCTAAGCAGTTCGCCCACTAACGTCTTGGCGATTACACCCATCAGTAGCTATTGTAGCGTATGTGTAATTGTACCCCTGTACGGGTATGTGGATGCGCCCGCTCTCAGACAGGCACTCTCTCTTTTGATGCTTCACTCAGACTTCACTTGCCTGTATGGATACTGCCTTTTGTTGTTTGTCAAAATAAATAGTACGTGCGTGGCAAGGGAAAAAAGGAAGCTCCGTCCTTCCCCTTCCCTATACTCTGTGGAACGAAACAGAGAGAAGCAGAAGGAGGATATACAAACTCATCGACAGTGAAGAACAAGGGGATCACTGACGCCGATACTTGTGCACACGGTAATGATTTTTTTTTTTCGTTTTAATGGGGACAAAGACAAAACGCAGCTGCCTCTCAGTGCCCCCCAAGCAGTTCACCTTCAGTCAGCCATACACGGTCGCCACCGCTTTATATCTCCTCCGTATTGTACAACAATCATTTTTTTGTTCTCACTCTTGTCGTCATCGTCATCTCCACGCATCTCATCAATCAGCACGGTATATGAGGTGCACGCCAAGTTCCGTCTCCACTGGCGCACTCACCTCGCCGCGGCCCAGTGCGAAAGCAGCGGCGTCGAAGGTCTCCGTGTATGTGCCGCTCTCCACCATGCCGAGATCGCCGTCCCGCTTGGCGGTGGCGCACTCGCTGAATTCACGCACCGCAGCTGCAAACTCCTGCAAGGACCACTCCGCCGCCGGCCCGCTGTGGCGTGCGAGAACCGCGCGCGCCAACGTCACAGCGTCCGCCTTGGACCGCGTGATGCGATCGCCCTTGTTGCGCGGGGCGAGGGACACGGGCCGGCGCACGTCCTTGTGCTTGATAAGCACGTGGTACAGTCGCCGCTCAACAACCAGGGGAGGAGCTGGCGATTTACCCCTCTCTTCCTCCTCTTCTTCTTTCTTCTGCACCTCCGCCGCTGTCGCCTCTCCCTGTGTCAGCTCCGTGGCGTCTCTCGCTTTCTCACGCATCGCCGCCGTCGGCGCCTCGCCTGTATGCTCCTCGGCAGCGTCTTCACCGCTGGCACTGTGAGCAGCAGCAGTAGCCCTGTCAGGGAGAGAAGATGAAAGAGCAGTCTTTGCGTGTTTCTGTTCTTCTGCAATCTTCTCCTGCTCCTCTCGCAGGCGCTTCGACGAGGGTGGAGGGCCCAGGCGTACCTTGTACATGCGAGTGCTGAAGCCGAACTGGATGCTGCTGTCAACAGGTGCCGGCACTGGCCTCTTCCTCCCGATGCGGACGCCGTTAAGCTTAACTCCATTGGTCGAGCCCAAGTCCATCAGCACGAAACACTTCTGTTCGCGGTGGTACACCAACACCGCGTGAATGCTGCTGATTGACGGATGTTCAAGTACGTAATCGCACACAGCGCTACGACCAAACAAGTAAAATGGAAACCGATCGAGACCCAGTGCTGGCAGAGGTACCCCGTCACGGGTGCAGTGCAAGTGGCATGCATGCACAGGGTGTGCAGCCCACGGCGGGCACTTGAAGAACGGTGTCTGTGCGTTCAACTTCACCGGATCTGTAACGCTTATAATGTGCGGTGGCAGCGCACTAGCCTCCTCCGAGAGCTTTACTACCTTCGGTGGTGCCTTCTTGGCGACTTCCGCGGCCTTCTCTATGCTCGTCACACGCGAGAAAAGCGCATTCGTACCAAGGGATGATGACATTTTCCCACTTTATTGGGCCGCTCAGCTTGCTAATCGCTTCGCTCTAAATTTACAAACGTAAGGGGTGGGGGCGAGGCGAGGAAGAGAGAGGCAAAAGAAAAAGACGGTCTGTGCGACAGAGACATAAATACTCATATGCAGCCATCCAAGTTACAACCTGAACAGCAGCACTGAAATAAACAGGTCACCCTCATGTACTGTGGTCAACGTTCCTTTTTCGTGTGTCAGACCGCGCTGTGCCCGTTCCACTTACGCACGCGCTCGCGGTGTGCCCAGCAGCTGTTCTGCCGCAGGCTCCAGCCACGGTACGGGTCCGCCAGCGAGCGCATCACTTTGGGATGCAGTGAGAAGGGGTGAGCAGTGCGCCTGTGGTTCATGAACGCCATCTCCCCGCCGCGACCGTAGAAGTTCCAGCCGTTAGCGGTATCGTGCAGCCCCTTCGGCGGCGGCCGCGGGTCCCTGTCGGGGTCTGCGTCGTCGCGGAAGGCAACAGAGCGTTTGGCGTACAGCTCCTTCAGTCTGCGCTTGAGCTCTGCATCCTGTCTCTCTGTGTTTAACACAATGGAGGAGCGACGCCGAGACATAAAGCGACGAGAGACAGAGGCATCCACTGATGCGAATGATGTCGTCGGCCTCGCCACACTCTTCTGCCGCTGCCGCTTCTGCTGTTGTTGTTGATTCTCTTTCTGTTGTTGAAGGTGCACCGCGAGCTGAGAGGGCGGTGGCAAGTCTCGGTAAGCCTCTTTTGGTAAGGCCAGTGGGAAGTGATACAGTGTGTAGTACTGCGCCTCCAACGAAATGGTACTGTGCAGGTAGTAAAGAAGTGACATGAGCCGCTTCCGCACATCGCGCTGCGCCTCCATCGTGCACGCCGACGAATTGGCGATTGATAATGCAGGTGCATGTCGTAGTAAATGCAGTGCACGGTCCCAGTGGCCCAGCTGCACGAGCGCGGGTCCAACCGCCGCCACCATGTAGTCGGTGATGACAATATCATCACGCTCGTTCAACAGTCTGTCGAAAACGGCCACAGCCTGTTGAGGGTGGTGCAACATGTCGAGCTGCAGCTGCAGCGGGGATCCCTCCTCTTGCTGCTGCTGCTCCACTGCGGAGCTGAGTGCCTGGGAGTCGTGATCCGCATCTGGCGCGACAAGACGAAACTTCTTACTTTCGCGTGGAAAGGAGGCGAAGAGCAGGTTGAGCGTCGTCGCTTGCATCGACTGCACCTTCCCCTGCGATGACAATGATGATGACGGCGCCTCTGGGTAATAGTACGACTCGAAGAGTGCCACTGCCTCCTTCCACCGTTGCTGACTCCCCAAACCGTTAAGCAGCCGTTGCAGCTCACTCTCCGAGAGCGATGGCTCCTGACGCCGTCCCATCGCTTCCGAAGAAATGGCAACGGCAGCGCTGGACGCAAAAACATCCTCGCTACGGCGCTGTTGCAGTTCCTCCAGGCATTGCAGGGCCATCATCCACTGCCCATCATCTGCCATTGAAGACATCATGGATCGCAGCGCTCCTGTTGAAAGCCGTGGCAACTGCTTCTGCGCGTGCGGTGCTGAACCTGCACCGCCAACTGCCTTTGACACGAACAAGGAGGCCAACGACCGCGGTATCACTGCGGTCTTCTGTGCTGTCACATCCTCCTGGAAGGAAGCGGCGGCGATCTCCCACGACCCGCTCCGCGCGGCTGCTTCTGCGACGATACGTGCTACCCACTCCTGCTCATGACGGCTCCCACCGGCGTTCATGAAGTTTGCCACAACGTACTTTGTCTCGGCGAGCATGCCGCACTCCGCCAGCAGCGGCAGCAGCGACTCGCCCATGTGGTGCCTCGTGAGCAACGAGAAACGGTGGCGTCGCTCCGCCTGTAGCAGACACTCGTAGCCCTCCTGCGGGGACCGCAGCTGAGCGTACGCCCACACCAGCGTCACCCACAGCCCACTCGACGCGATGTTGCCCTCGTACGCCTTGTCGCGCAGCGCGTCAAGCACACGCACCGCGTCGCGGCGTCGCTGCGGCGCCGTCTCGGTTGCAAGGCCGCGAATAACCCGCTGGTAGTCCGCCGCTGTGCGGCCGAGTTTTGCGTAGCGGGCTCCTAGCACCTCTAGGGCGCGGCCCCAGTCGTGCGCGTCGAGCGGCAGCACAAGACGCCGCTGTACCGCCTTCGTTGAGTGCGCCGCCAACATCTCGCGGCGACTACGGTGCGGCGGGNGTGTCGGGCGTGTCCAGAACTGTGTCGCATAGCTGCCGTGCCGCCCGGCCTTCTGCATCCCTTCACGCAATGTCCGCTGTGCGTATGTGTGACAGCAGAAACGAGGTGGGGGCGAAAAGAGGAAGAAAGAGACGGCCGACCCCCTGAAAGCAGAAAAAAAATATGTATATATCAAGAAATGTGAACTGATCTTAAATTAAACACAGATAACAAAAAAAAGGAGTCATTCTGCTCACATAAACCACATATGACAATAAACTGTTCTTATCCTCTCTTCTCTTCGTCACTCCGGCTCTTCATTTCTGCCGTCTCCTTTCGTACTTCAGTTGTGACCATACTGTTTCATGGGGACTTTTGCGAGCATGGCCCGTTCTACAGCAGTCTTGAACGACGTGGGCACGAGACCCGCCTTCGCCAACTTGGGAGCAAGCTTCGGGTGCTTGTCAACGAAGCGGAAGAGCTCCTCACTGAGTGCAAAGGACTGTCGCAACTCCTCGACAAGAGCTGCATTTGTCGTGTGAAGGCGCAGCGCGAGGTTTTGCATGCGCTTCAGCTTGCTGTCGATGATCACATCACGCTGTGCGTCTCTTGCGATAAGTTGCTGCTGCAGCTCTTCTATACGCTTCTGCAGAGCCGCATCGCCACCACCATTATTGCCATCACTATTGATGTTACCACTGCCGTTGTCATTTATCTCTTTGCGGGAGGTGCTCGGCTGCGGCACCTGGTGGTTGACCTCAGCTGACTCGAGCACACCAGGTGGCCTCTCGAGCGACGCCAACACGACCGTAGTGAGTGTTTTGACGGCCGCGTCGACTTGTGCGCCGCGAACAGTGGTAGTGGCCTCCTCCGGGTTCAGTGCCTTGCCGTGCGACACGACAGACGCCACACCGAGAAGCCTCCAGAGGTACGAGTTCTGCAGCTTGTTTGCGTCCCGCAACTCTGCAGCCTCGTCCTCGAGCTCCTCAATCTTCGACTGCAATCCCTCAATCTGTGCACGTTCTTCGCCCAACTCGCGGTTGTGTTTTTCCTGGAGTTGGTGGTGGGAGAACTGTAACTCCTGGTGCTCAATGTGCAGTTTAGTAAGCTGCTGCAGGTAGTCGTCGTAGCGACCCTTTTCAAGCAGCTTGGACTGTGTCTTGGCGAGCTGCTCCTTCAATAGATGCGACTCCTCCTTGGCGGCACCCTCTGCGGCGTCCTTGGCGTCGACGAGTGCTTGAAGCTCTTTACACGTCGTCTGCAGCTTCTTTAGTGAGGAGGCATGCACCGCGTTTTCATCCTCGAGCTCCTTACAGAAGCTGTCAAGCTCATCCATGGACTGCTGAATGGCGCTCTTCTCGTCGAGCACTTCCTTCAGCATCTGTTCTAAATCCCGCACATCCGCGCGGAGCTGATGCTTTTCTTCGTCATCGGCAAGGACCATCGCGGCAGCGGCAGCTGTTCCACTATAGGTGTTTCCTGCAACTTCAGACTGTTGCTTTAGTGCATCTCGTGCTTTGGAAAGTTCCTGCAACAGCTCCTCATTCTGCTCTGTGAGCCGCTCAATGATAATTCGCTGTTGCTCACTTGGTGTGGTGTGAGACACCCCATCACTACCAGCAGTATCAGCAGCAGTAGTCACAGTAGTTGGAGTTCTAGCCACCCCAGAAAGGAGAAGTTCGTCCATCTTCTGCTCAAGGTGCTTAATTCGCACACTCTTACTCCATAAGTATATTGTGGTCGCCACCATCATACGCTTGTAGCGTCGTAGGTCGATCTCAGCTTCTCGCAGCCTTGTTTTGGGGTCTGCTATCTCATTGACCGACACCTTATTTTTGATTGCCTTCACACGTGCTGCAAACTGCAGTGTGCTTCGCGACTCATCAACGTTCTGCACTGCCGGCGTGATGCAGCAAAAGACAGCCGTCAGGGAGTTCCCACCAATCGCCGTCTTGAGGAGGTGGGTGAGGCGCGAGTCGCGGTAGGGCACAAACGCGGTTGTACCTCCACTTGCGGTGTTATTAGTATTATTATTACTATTATTGCTGCTGCTCCGAACGTTGTTGACACACTCCGTCAATCGGCTAATGACCGTCGCGAGGATTGTGAGGGATTTGTTGATATGGCCGCCCTCCACTCGGCGTATACCCGTCGAGCCGGTCTTCGCTACCCGCTCCGATCCAGCCAGGTCGACAAGGTTGAGGGTCGCCACAACTTTCTTCTTCATTCCACACAGCTCCTCATCCTCTTCCTCCTCGCTGCCGGACGAGACGTCGCTGTCCTCCTCGAGCGGGATGGTTTTCTCCACGAGGATACGGATCACGCAGTGTGACCGGCTCGAGTGCTCATTCATCACAGTGGACGCACTCACGCGGCCTTCCGCCTGTGTCTGGATGAGCTGAAAGCACGCACGCGCACTCGTCACCTCCCGCCTAATAGCGTTGTGCACGTAGACACCGTGTTCGTTCTCACGGATGGAGAGCGGCGCGGCCACCGCCCCCGGCACAAGCAGCAGGTCCCGCATCTGCTCATTGTAGATCTCAATCATCGTCACGTACACCGCCACCTGCATGGATGGGTTCTTCTGCTGCTCTTTCTCGAGGTCGGCAAAGAGATCTCGAACTGACATCTCGACAACTCCCTCTGGCGCATTGATTTTATTGCTGGCCCTGCTGCTCCCATCGTCGCCAAGCATTGTGTACGATTTGCCGCTACCTGTCTGACCGTACGCGAACACTGTGCCGTTATACCCCTTTGCGACATTTGCCACGATGCTACTGCGTACGCTGCGCTCATACAGCTCCTGCGTGGTGTCGGTAGTGTTGTAGACGTGATCAAAGGTGAATAAATTGTCAGGATTGCCCTTTTCCCGCAGCGTGGTGGCACTGATGTCCCACGCGGCGCTCGTCTCGTGCAACTCCACCCGAATTGGGCGTACGCGAATGAACACGTCGATGGAGCTACGCTTCACACCGAGAAGACCACTCATCTCTGAATACGCCTTTATATATATATATATATATATATATATA